TTGTAAGTAACCAACTCTGGTCCCCTAGCCAAAGGAATGAAAGGGAAAGGGGCCCTGCTAATCACAGAAATAAGGGTCTGTTGTTGTTGTTTTTGTAAATAGTATTTTATTTTTCCTAATTACATGTAAAGATAGTTTTCAACGTTCTTTTTTTATAAGATCTTGAGTTCCAAATTTTTCTCCTTCCCTCCTTCCTTCCCCTCCCCAAGACAGTAAGCAATCTGATATAGGTTATACATGTGCAATCATGTTAAACATATTTCCACATTAATCATGTTGTGAAAGAAGAATCAGAACAAAAAGGAAAAACCATGAGAATGGGAAAAAAAAGTGAAAATAGTATGTTTTGATCTGCATTTAGATTCCATAGTTCTTTCTCTGGATGTGGATAGCATTTTTTATCATGAGTCTTTTGGAATTGTCTTGGGTCATTATATTACCGAGAAAAGCTAAGTCTGTCACAGTTGATCGTTGTACAATGTTGCTGTTAATGTGTACGTTGTTCTCCTGGTTCTGCTTGTTCCACTCAGTATCATTTCATGTAAGTCTTTCCAGGTTTTTCTGGAATTCATCTGCTCATCATTTCTTACAGCACAATAGTATTCCATTACATTCATATACCACAGCTCATTCAGCCATCCCCCAATTGATGGGTATCCCCTAAATTTCCAATTCTTTGCCACCACAAAAAGAGTTGCTATAAATATTTTTATACATGTAGGTCCTTTCCCTTTTTTATAATCTCTTTGAGATACAGACCTAGTAGTGGTATTGCTGGATCAAAGGATCTGCATAGTTTGATTGCCCTGTGCACATAATTTCAAATTGTTCTGCAGAATGGTTGGATCAGTTCACAACTCTACCAACAATGCATTAGTGTCCCAGTTTTCCCACAACTTCTCCAACATTTACCAGGAAATAAAGTTTTTAAAGATAGTTTTTCCATCCCCTCAAAAACTCATTAAGCCATCTTGAAAGAAAGGGATACCCCATCTTCACACAATTATGTCTTAGTTTTTCTTTATTAATGGGCCTACCACTATTCTTTGCACGTAGTAGGTCTAGGATAAATGCTCATTAAATTGTCATGCTGTCCTTCAACTCAAATCGACCACGTAGTCTGTCCATTCTCCTCTTCTGTTTACCATTATAATATAGCATTACGATATAATTTCAAAGATTATGGTTTTATATGAATTACATCTTAAGATGTCCATTTCCTTGTTTGTTTGGTTTTTTGAGGCAGTTGGGGTTAAATGACTTGCCTAGGGTCACACAGCTAGTAATTGTCTGAGGCCAGATTTGAATTTAGGTTCTCCTGACTTCATGGCTGGTGCCTTATCCACATTTTCTTGTAGTAATAATAATAACAATTACTCATTTTAAGTAACTTTTAAAGGTTTACAGAATACATTGTGGCCATTATCTCATTTAATCTTTACAACACCTCTATGAAGTAGATACTATTAGTTTCTCCCCATTTTACAGATGGTGGAAAGTGAGGCTCAGGTTAAGTGACTTGCCCAAAGTCATGTAGCTAGTAAATGTCTGAGGTGCAATATGACTCTGTCTTTCCTGACTCCAAGTGAAGAACTCTTAACACCTTACTGTCATCAGCAAGTGAAATATAATTTCTTTTTTTGGGGGGGGCACTAGGCAATAGTGTTAAGAGACTGGCCCAGGATCACACAGCTAGTGTCAAGTGTCTGAAGCCGGATTTGAACTCAGGTCCTCCTAACTTAAGGGCCAGTGCTCTATGCACTGCACCACCTGGCTGCCCCAATATAATTTCTTAAATTGCAGGAAAGAATGGATTAATTGAGGAACTACTCCTACAAATGGTTAATCTTTATTTTCACAAATACATGAGAATTTTTATGAACTTCAGTCAGGACAGATAGCACTTGATTACATTAGCTTACTTTGGGGACTGCTCTTACTTTACCTACTATGTGTAAAAAAAATAGGGTTTTTGTTTATTTGTTTGTTTTTTACATTTCAATAATTAATTTATTTTTAGTTTTCAACATTCACTTCCATAAGATTTTGAGTTCCAAATTTTCTCCCCATCTTGTCCCTCCCCCAACCCCAAGATGGTGTGCATTCTGCATACCCCTTCACCTAATCTTCCTTCCCTTCTATCTCCCCCCCCTTCTCTAATCCCCTTCCCCTTCTATTTTCCTGTAGGGCAGGACAGATTTCTATACTCCATTGCCTGTATATCTTATTTCCCAGTTGCACGTGAAAACAATTTTTAACTTTTGTTTTTAAAACTTTGGGTTTCCAATTTTCTCCCTTTCTCCCTCCCCACCCACCCTCATTGAGAAGGCAAGCAGCTCAATACAGGTTATACATGTGTAATCATGTAGAACCCTTCCATAGTAGTCATGTTGTGAAAAACTAACTGTATTTCCCTTCATCCTATCCCGCCTCCTGTTTATTCTATTCTCTCTTTTGACCCTGTCCCTCCTCAGAAGTGTTTGCTTTTGATTATTCCCTCCCCCAATTTGCCCTCCCCTCTATCAACCCCCTGCTCTCTTGTCCCCTTCCCCCCTTATTTTCCTGTAGGGTAACATAGATTTCCATACCCCATTGTGTATGTTATTCCTTCCTTAAGCCAAATCCTATGAGAATAAGATTCACTCATTCCCTCTCACCTTCCCCCATTTCCCCTCCACTGTAAAAGCCTTTTCTTGTCTGTTTCATGTGAGATAATTTACCCCCATGCTACTTTTCCCTTTCTCCTTCTCCCAGTATAATCCTCTCTCATCCCTTAATTTTATTTTCCAGATACCACTCCTTCATCTTCAACTCACCCTGTGCCATCTATCTATCTATCTATCTATCTATCTATCTATCTATCTGTCTGTCTGTCTGTCTGTCTGTCTGTCTGTCTGTCTGTCTGTCTGTCTATCTATCTATCTATCTATCTATCTATCTATCTATCTATCTATCTATAATTTTCCCCCTCTAACTACCCTAATACTGACAACAGTCTCATGGGTTACAAATACCATCTTTCCATGTAGGAATATAAACAGTTCAACCTTAATAAGTCCCTTATGATTTGTCTTTCCTGTTTACCTCCTCATGCTTCTCTTGAGTCTTGTATTTGAAAGTCAGATTTTCTATTCAGCTCTGGTCTTTTCATCAAGAATGCTTGAAAGTCCTCCATTTCACTGAATGTCAATTTTTTTCTCCCTGAAGGATTATACTCAGTTTTGCTGGGTAGGTGATTCTTGGCTGTAATCCTATCTCCTTTGACCTCTGGAATATTATATTCCAAGCCCTCTGGTCCCTTAATATAGAAGCTGCTAAATCTTGTGTTATCCTGATTGTGTTTCCACAATATTTGAATTGTTTCTTTCTGGCTGCTTGCACTATTTTCTCCTTGACCTGAGAACTCTGGAATTTGGTGACAATACTCCTAGGAGTTTTCTTTTGGGGATCTCTTTCAGGAGGTGATCGGTGGATTCTTTCCATTTCTATTTTACCCTCTGGTTCTAGAATATCAGGGCAGTTTTCCTTGATAATATCTTGAAAGATGATGTCTAGACTCTTTGTTTGATCATGGCTTTCAGATAGTCTAATAATTTTTAAATTATCTCTCCTGGATCTATTTTCCAGGTCAGTTGTTTTTCCAATGAGATAGTTCACATTGTCTTCTAAAGTGAGCTTTTGGACCTCCTTTTCCACTTGGCCAATTCTGCTTTTTAAGGCATTCTTCTCCTCATTGGCTTTTTGAACCTCTTTTGCCATTTGGGTTAGTCTCTTTTTTAAAGTGTTATTTTCTTCAGTATTTTTTGGGGTCTCCTTTAGCAAGCTGTTGACTTGTTTTTCGTGATTTTCTTGCATCACTCTCATTTCTCTTCCCAGTTTTTCCTCTACTTCTCTTACTTGCTTCTCAAAATCCTTTCTGAGTTCTTTCATGGCCTGGGACCAATTCATATCTTTCTTGGAGGCTTTGGATGTAGGAGCTTTGACTTTGTTGTCTTCTTCTGGTTGTATGTTTTGATCTTCTTTGTCACCAAAGAAAGATTCTATGGTCTGACTTTTTTTGTGCAATTTGCTCATGATCCCAGCCAATTTCTTGAGTTTTAAACTTTTTGTTAAGGTAGGGGTCTGCTTCCAGTATGGAGAATGTACTGTCCCAAGCTTTGGGGGTTTGGGGCAGCTATATTCAGAGATATTTCTAGGGATCTGTAAGTTTTCAGTTCTTTCAGGGTGGTATGATCAAGGGTGAGGTGTTTACTTCTTTCCAGGCCTGTCCTCTGTTCTATGAGTGACCACAAGCACTCTTTTGTTCCTTGGAACTGTGAGGAGGATTCCCTCTCCACCGCCACCACAAGCTCCACCACGCCAGCACTCTTCCTCACCCCAGGACTGCCACCCAGAACCGTGACCCAGATCCAAGCAGGGGCAAAGCAAGAGAATCCTGCCTCAGCACCACAAAGAGATCCCTGCAATCCCCCTCTGAGCAGCCACTCTTCCCCCTCCATCTGTGGGCCAAGGAGCTCTGGAAGCAGCCGCCACCCTGGGGCTGTGCTGGGACTAGGGCTGGGACCAAGCTTCTCTTTCACTGTGGTCAGATCTTTCCTACTGACCTTCTGAGTTGTCTTTGGTGTTTGTGGTTTGAGAAGTCTAGAAACTGCCACAGCTGCCTGTGATTCAGCCCCCTGAGGCCTGCTCCAGATTTGCTGAGGCCTGGTCTTTGCCTGTACCATCCCACACTGAACTGCACTTCTCCCCCAGCCCAGCACAACAGAGCTTTCCAATCAACCATCCAGGTTTTCTTGGGCTGGAAATTTGTTTCACTCTGTCTTTTTATGGGTTCTACTGCTTTATAATTTGTTTACAGTCATTTTTTACAGGTATTTGGAGGGGTTTGGGGGAGAGCTCAAGCAAATCACTGCTTTTACTTCACCATCTTGGCTCTGCCCCTAAAAAATTGTTGTTCAGACATTGTTCTTTCTAAGTCACTTGACTTTCTGTATATTTAGGAAAGAAAAGGAGGTACAGTAAAGGCTGCCTCAGGTTTTAATGCAGCTGAAGATGCCCAGAAACTGAGGAAGGCCATGAAAGGATTTGGTAAGTAGATAGCCTACCTAATGCATGGCATGGTAAAAATTTATATAAATTTATGTTTTGCAAGCAACCTAACTCCTATGGTAATTTAATGCTTTTAAAATAGAAGTTGTGTCTCTTTTGACAATCCAGGTAAGCCTTAAGATGGATCAGTACATAAAAAGTTAGACTCTGTAAAACAAATAGGATCAGGAATAATTGCTCTAGGAAAAGATTCTTTTCTTTTCTTTTCTTTTTTTTGGCCAGGCAATGGGGTTAAGTGACTTGCTCAGGGTCACACAGCTAATAAGTATCAAGTGTCTGAGGCCAGATTTGAACTCAAGTCCTCCTGACTCCAGGGCCAGAGCTCTATCCCCTGTGACACCGAGCTGCCCCAAAAAGATTCTTTTCAAAAGAACAACCACTACTCCTGCCTGGTCCCTGCCCAAAAATTTTTTTAAATTATTTTAAGATTTTTTTTGGTAGACTGGAGGGTACTGGAGCTGTGATTTCATCCTTGTAGGGAGCACTTTGGGAGGAATGTCCCCTCCCCACACAGATCACAAAACCTACTCTACAAGGTTCTTAATGTTGAATCCTCAGAACTCCTTGGCAGGTCAGGGGATAGATAGATTTCAGGGGTCCATATACTTTGGGTAAAAAAAATACATCTTTATTTTCACAAACCTATAGCATTTAACATTTCCTTTAATTATGAATTAAAAAAAAAAACAATGTTATTCTGAGAAGAGATTAATTGATTTCACCAGACTGCCAGATGGGTCCAGGATATAAAAAACCCTTCAGAAACTGTGTCTTGGAGGGATTCCTCTAGGCACTGAGATGTTGTGACGTGGCCTGCGTCACATAACCAGTGTGTATCAGTGTGAACCCTGGTCTTTTTGACTCCTAAAGTCAGCTCTGTATCCTCTACTGTCCCTCAAAATCTGATTGTAATTACAAAAAATTTCTATTACAACTTTTCATATATGTATATGATTTGTAGGATGTAATTTCTGTGTTGTCCCCATTTTGGTGGTAGACCTAGAGGACCAATGATACCATTGTGGGGCTTATTAGAATTTTGCATGAAATATTATGTAAAAATACGCAGTTAGTTGCAAAGTCAGTGTAGACATATGCAGAGAATCAGTTTGGGATGGATAGTTTTCAGAGTATTCGATTGTATGTCAGTGAAGGTGGAAAATGGCACATAGCTCTCCTATTGGGAACCTTGGAGAGGGAGATGTGTCATATGCAAGGTATGCAGAGTCGGTGGGATGATGATGATGATAGCATTTTTATCACACTTAAAAACGTGCAAAGTTTTTCAAATAGTGTCTCATTTTGTCCTCACAACGACTCCGGTAAGTAGGTGCTATTATCACCCCAATTCTACAATTGCAGCAACTGAGACTAGGGGGATTGAGTGATTTGCTCAGAGTCATCTATTTAGTGTCTGAGGTATAATTTAAACTTGGGTCTTCTGACTTCAACCCTACCCCTCCATCTGCTGTGCCACCTCGCTCGCTGCCTCATGTCCAGCCAAGGAGGGCATAGGTCTGTGTCCCTGCACTTGAGGGAGCCTCTGGAGATTCTCTGTGATCATCTTAGAGTAGAGTTTTAGCCAGATGAGACCTGAGAGGAAGTGTGGTACAGTGGAAGGAGCTTTCTCTGGGCTTAGAGTTGCAAGACCAGGTTTCAAATTTTGCCTGTCACTTACGTATCTTGTGTAACCTTGAGGAAGTCACTTCTCTTCTGAGCCTTAGTCCTCTCCTGTACAATGAAGGAATTGGATTAAATGATGTCTAACCTCCCTTTCAGATCTAAATCCTATAATGTTGTTGTTGAGTTGTTTTTCACTCATGTCTGACTTTTAATAACCCCATTTAGGGTTATCTTGGCAAAGGTACTAGAGTGGTTTGCCATTTCCTTTTCCAGCTCATTTTACAGATGAGGAAATTGAGGCACACAAGGTTAAATGACTTGCCCAGGGTTATACAGCTGACAAGTATCTGAGGCCAGGTTTGAACTCAGGAAGATGAATCTTCCTGACTCCAGGCTTGGCACTCTATCCAGTGCACCACCCAGCTGCCCTCAAATCCTATAATACTAAAAGACAAAGTGCTATTTAAATGTTATTATTATTAATTATTATTTTTTTTGGCTAGGCAATGGGGTTAAATGACTTGCCGAGGGTCACACAGCTAGTAAGTGTTATATAGGAGCTAGCTGCTCCTCCATATTTCTTTATATAACTCATTTCATGCCAGGTACTGAGGATACAACAGAAAAAAAAAAAAGAAATAGTCCTTGGTCTCAAGGACTCAAGGATTATATTCTATTGGGGATCATTCCATTCTTCCCCAAATGCTGGACTTCTAGGTTATTTCCAGCTATCTTTGCTATTGACACATAACTTCTCAGTTCCCCTACCAATCTTTAAAACTATATAAGTTGCAGAGAAGCTTTTATTCTGCATTTGAGGAAACTTCCTCATTTGGAGTTTCCTATACCATAAAATCATAGGTCTAAATCAAAATAAAAATCTTTGTTGTTATAGATAATGGAGGTAGGAATATATTTATGTCATTGGTTTTTTTTTTCTTTTTAATTACATCCTTAACATATATTCCCATGATTGGATTGCTAGGTCAAAAGGTAGGGCTAGGTTCTTTTATGTTTATGGTATGTTGTCATGTTGCTCTCCAAAAACATTGCACTGTACTGCAGTTTCCCTAGCAATGTGTAGTGTACATGTTTTCCCCTTCAAACACTGAGTTTTGCCACTTATAATGAGTTTTGCCAGTTTGACGAGAGTAGAGTACAATTTCAGTGACAACGGGAGATGGTCTTTCAAAAGAGAAATCAGGGAAATACAAGGTGATATTACAACAGGGGAGCTTTTTTCCCCGTTTTAAAATTTTTTCCTCACAGGATCATTTTGATTTGGAAAGAGACAAGAAGGATGACATGCCTTGGAGGCAAGGAGAATGACCAGCAGTAATTCAGTTTGTTATTATAAAAAAAAAAAACACAACTTCCCCACTTGCCTCACTAAACTTAATTTTATAACTTTAGTGACCATAGTATGAACCAGGGTTTTGTGTTTACCATATCTTCTATCTCCGCCAACAATCTCTCTATTATTTTTTCCTTCAGGTACAGATGAAGATGCCATCATTAATGTTCTTGCCTACCGTAGCGTGTCACAGCGCCAGGAAATAAAAATAGCTTATAAGTCAACCATCGGAAGGGTAAGTCACAGTTGAGTTTGCCATACTGGGGTGTTAATGGAACCACTAGAGATCAGGGGTTTGTCTGGACCACACCAGTAGGGTTGCTTTACTTTAAATGAACAAACGAATGAATGAATAAACAAAAGGATGAATGAATGAACCTCTTTCCCCTTGCCAGTTTAAGATGCTGGTTTTGATGAACTTTCTATCCACTGGTATTCTTTCTCCACAATGTCTCCCCTGCTCTGAGGGCTGCTTGGTTCTCATGTCTTAAGGCTGGTACTGGCTTGTGTATCCTTAGCCCTACCATCCTCACCACATACACTGCCCCAGGGAAGTGCCCTCTCTGAGCAGACTGGGCTTTCTGAGCATGGTTCCCATGGTGGCTAAGTATGGGAGATGACGTCTTATTCTCCTGCTACTCTCAGTTCGATTTTTCTGGAGTTGATTTAATTGTTGAGGCTAAAACAATGTTTAAAATGTTTTTGTTTTAAACGGGCATTTAAAAACTATTATTTAGGGACATCATTCTGACTCATACATTGTAGTGTCCTTCCCTTTAGTGACACCCAGAGTATTAACCATTGTTCCCAGCCTATCAAATCCTCCCTACATCAGACTTGTTTGAGTTCATGTTTCAGATTTGATTCAGAATTGCATCCCATTTTTTTTTTTTTGGTCAATTGATTGCATCCAACTCTTTGTGACACCATTTGGGGTTTTCTTGGCAAAGATACTAGAGTGATTATCATTTCCTTCTCCAGCTTATTTTACAGATAAGGAAACTGAGACAGAGTTAAGTGACTTGGCTAGGTTCACAACAGCTGCTAAGTGTCTGAGGCCAACTTTGAACTCAAGTCCTCCTGATTCCAGGGCTGGCACTCTCTCTAAGTCGCCTCGCTGCCCCATCCTCTTCATAGGCTTTTTATCATTCCAAGAAGTGGCATGCACTGGAATATGAGGTTTGGGCAACTATTGCTTAGGGACAGTGGGAAGAGCCTAGAATTTGGAGTCAGAAGGTCCAGGCTTCAAGCCTGACTCCGTCACTTGTCTCCTTGGACAAGTCACTTTATAGATTTATAGCTGGAAAGGACCTCAGAGTGAATCTAATCTAATGTTTTCATCTTACAGATGAGGAATTTTGAGCTGGGGAGATGAAATGACTTGCTCCAGATCACACAGGTGGCAAATTGTGGAGCCAAGATTCGAACCTAAGCCCTCTAATTCCAAATCCAATGCTTTTCCAACTTTATCATACTTGATCTGCCTGGGCCTCAGTTCCCTCATAAGTAGAATAATCAGATCAAAGTAGGTGAGCTCTAAGGTTCCTTCTAGCTCGAAATCCTTTAATCTGCCCAGAATGTGCAGAATCTGTTTTTTTCTTACATTACAAATATTTTATTATATTTTGAATAGGTCCTAAAAATTCAAAGGTTATTCACTCAAAATTATGCCCCCTCCTTTTTTTTTTTTTTAACATATGTTCCTTATCCCATAAGTGTATGTATAATCTGAGTGGTTTTGAATAAGGGATAAGGTATGAAGTGAGAATTTAAATTGATTTTCCACTGATACTATCTTTGCCAGGTTTTAAAATTATGATCCTATTTACTTTATTAAAAATGTCAACTTTTAACAAAGCCTTTGATTTCTTTCTATGTTTAGGAATAATCTGTATTAGTTTAGGATTGTATCTTTGAAAATTTGGAAAAATTTACCTTTCATCCCATCTGGATGTGATAAATGTGTTGAATCATGTTTTCTAACGGAATAATCACTGCTGGCTTACTTCATATTTACTTCTATATTGGTCTTTACTATTTCTCCTTTTTTCTGTCTTCCTTTGTGTTACGCCTTTGTTCCTTATCTAATGCTTTTGGAGATAGATAATTGAATTACCTTTCTTTTTCCTTGTTATTAGATACGCTCATATATAAATTTGCCCATAAGAATTGTTTTGCCAATATTCCATAGATTTTGATATGTGGTTAGGATTATCTTTTTAAAAACCATTTTGTTTTAATCAGCCAACATCTGCCTTCTGACTCTCCCACCCCATCTCTCGCCACATTGAGAAGAGGGGAAAAACACAACCCATTACACACACATACAGTCAATCAAAACAAATTTCTGTACTAGCGGTATCAAAAAAATGAATTTGTCTCACTTTGCATCCTGAGTCTTTTACCTTTCTCTCAGGAGGTGGGTAACATGTTTCATCAATATGCCTTTGGAATCCTGGTTGGTCATTACTCTGATAAGAGTTCAGCACCATCATATTTATATATTATGACTTGCTCAGCCGTTCCTCCCTCTATTGGCACTTCCTCAGATTCCCATCCTTTGCTACCTCTAAAAGAGCCCTAAATATTTTTATATGGCCTTGGAGTTTGTTTTACTTAGGACTCATCCCTGCCTCTTCAAATTCACCACACTCTAATTGCCCCTTTCCTTTCTCCGCTTTCCCTTCTATTTTCCTATTGAATGAAATAGATTTTTGAATCCAAGTCTGTGTGTTTATTCTGTCATCATTATCTTTTGATGAGAATAATAGCTAGTATTAATAATGATATCATTATCTTATTTAAATTAAATTATATTTAAATGTTTCATTATTCATTAAATGTCTTCAAGTTTATTAAATTTTGGAGTTCCCCCCATTTTCCATGTAGCCTTATACCTTTTATTCATGTTATTGTTACTTATAATTTTGTTTCATTATAATCTATAAATACAGTATGCATAATTTTGGCCTTTTCATATTTACCAGGGCCATTTCTATGAATAGGCGTATGAGCTATTGTAGTGAAAGTTCTGAGTGTTCTTGAAAAGAATTTGTGCTCCCTTCTTTTTCCATTCATTTCTCTGTTATTGAGAGGCAGCCTAGCTGCAACCTGGAGGGGTTGTTGAATTAATTTTGCCCCACTTTCTGTACCCCTGCAGGATTTGATCGATGACTTGAAGTCAGAACTGAGTGGGAACTTCGAGAAAGTGATTGTGGGAATGATGATGCCCACCGTGATGTATGACGTGACTGAGCTGAGAAGAGCCATGAAGGTTTGCATTCATCCCTGCAGTGAGCAGCTTTTGTTTCCTACCTTCAGGAAGGCCATGTGGGCATTTTATTCATAATGCTTACCAATAAAAGCCTTCAAGTATATTCGAGGAGAAAACTCTAGTGTGGGAGTGGTTAGTTTTCTAACTTTTGATAGTTGTAAAATATGTTATCAAATCAGTAAAAAAAAAATTACTTTTTTCTAAAAAGTTACAGATTAGAAGAGACATGGAAATTATTTAGTCTAACTCCTGCTATTATGGATCCTCTCATGAGAATGTTCTTCTTTTCTTTTTTAAAAACATTTCATTTGTTTTAATCAGGCACTGTAGGGATACTTTGATGAAAGCAATGGAGTCATCCTTATAATTCAGTAGTGACAGTGACAGGGTCTGTTTCTGCCTTTGGCATATTTCTGGAAGTATTTTGGTTATTTTAGCTTTGTTGCAATCTCATTTAAGGCCTGTCATTTTGTGATTGTGTAGCAATACCTGCAAGTATGGAACTGGTAGAAAAAGGTTCTCACTTGTCCTCAGCATGATACAAATATCATTCATAGAGGAGAATGAACTTGCTGAGTTCTAGCCCAGGGGGGTGCCCTTTTCTTTTTAACCCAAACTGTCATTTTTTTTTTTACTAATTTATTTTTAGTTTTTCAGCGTTCACTTCCATAAGTTTTTCATTTTTAGATTTTCTCCCCATCCTTCTCCTCTCCCCTCCCCAAGAGGGCATGCAATCTGATATAGGTCATACATATACATTCCTATTAAACATATTTTCACATTAGTCATGTTGTAAAGAAGACTTAGGACCAATAGGAGGAACCACAAGAAAGAAGAAACAAAACAAAACAGAAGAAAAAAAAAAGAGCATATACTATGCTTCGATCTACATTCAAACTACATAGTTCTTTCTCTGGATGTAGATAGCATTTTCCATTATGAGACTTTTGGAGATGTCTTAGATCCTTGCATTGCTGAGAAGAGCTAAGTCTATCAAAGTTAGTCATTGCACAAGGTGGCTGTTACTGTGTACAATGTTCTCCTGGTTCTGCTCATTTCACTCAGCATCAGTCCATACAAGTCTTTCCAGGTTTTTCTGAAGTCTGCTTGCTCATCATTTCTTATAGCACAATAATATTCCATTACATTCATATACCACAACTTGTTCAGCCATTCCTCAATTGATGGGCATCCGCTCAATTTCCAATTCTTTGCCACCACAGAAAGAGATGCTATAAATATTTTAGTACATATGGGTCCCTTTCCCATTTTTATGATCTCTTTGTGATATAGCCCTAGCCATTTTTATAGCCCTTTGGGCATAGTGCCAAATTGCTCTCCAAAATGGTTGGATCAATTCACAACTCCACCAACAATGTATTAATGTTCCAATTTTCCTACATCTTCTCCAACATTTATCATTTTGTCATGTTAGCCAACCTGATAGTTGTGATGTGGTACCTCAAAGTTGTTTTGATTTGCATTTCTCTAATCAATAGTGATTTAGACCATTTTTTCATATGACTATAGATAGCTTTAATTTCTTCATCTGAAAACTGCCTGCTCAAATCCTTTGACCCTTTATCAACTGGGGAATGACATGTATTCTTATAAATTTGGCTTAGTTCTCTATATATTTTAGAAATGAGGCCCTTATCAGAGACACTGGTTGTAAAGATTTTTTTCCCCAGTTTTCTGCTTCCCTCCTAATCTTGGTTGCATTGGCTTTGTTTATGCAAAAACTTTTCAATTTAATGTAATCAAAATGATACACTTTGCATTTTATAATGTTTTCTATCTCTATCCCTTGTTTGGTCGTAAATTCTTCTGTTCTCCGTAAATCTGACAGGTTAAACTATTCCTTGCTTTCCTAGTTTACTTATAGTATCAGCCTTTATATCTAAATCCCAAACTGTCATTTCAATAATGTAACTTTTGCCTGATATAGAAGGCTCTCTCTATCAATGTAGACCAGTACCTGATTGATAACTAACATAGTCTTAGAGGGTTGCCTGGGGTCTCTGAGAAGTGAAGTAAGTTCCCCAGAGTCACACAGCCAGTATGTGTCCAGGTTAGGACTGGAACCCAAGTCTTCTGGACACCAAAGCTGGCTCTCTATCTACTATCCTATATTGTGTTTCTGGTTAGGTAATTTTGAATAACCTAGTCTATAATTCAAATACCTTTATCATTATTAGCATCTTTCTCCCAGCCGCTATCCTCAGGGTGGCTTTCAGAACACATAGGTTCTAGTTATGTAGCCATGGATAAATCACTTTACTTTCCTAAGCCTGAGTTCCCCCCCTTCCCCCACCCAAAGCAGGTTATTCTCTAAGTTCCCCTTTATCCACATTAATCTATTATCTAATTAAACAATTATTGTGTGTCTGCCATGTATAAGGCACTGTACTAGGCACTGGGAATAAAAAATGGCATGATATTCAGATCCTGCTCTCAAAGACTTATGAGGAAACTTGGAGAATGGTTAGGAGAAACCAAGCTAACAGGAGGGTCCTCAAGAACAGAGACTGGGCCTCATACACCTTTGTTTCCACAGAGCACTAGATGGAGTCAGAAACACCTGAGTTCAAATCCTGACTCAGACTCACTTCCTTGTTGTATTCCCCTGGACAAATCACTTAACCTCTTTTATCTCCAGTCACTTCATCTGTAAAATGGGGATAATAATGGCGTCTACCTCACAGGGTTATTGTGAGAATCAAATGAGATAAAGTATGTAAAGCATGATATATCTGTTGGCTATTACAGTGGATATAGCTCCTTCATAAAATGATGCAGTTGAATTAGATGGTTTCAATGGTCTATATCAGTTCTAGATCTATGATTTTATGTTCCATTTCTTCATCTGTAAATTGAAGAGGGTCTGACTCATTAGTCTTTAAGTTTCCTTTAGCTCTAATACTGTATGGTTCTATGTTCTAAGATCATGGGATCATAGATTTATGGCTAGAAGGAACCTTAAGAATGGACTTGTGGTCCAACTCTTTCATTTCACAGGTAATAAAACTGAGGCAGAGAGGTTAAAAGACCCAGGGTCGCATAGTGAAATCCTAAGGGGAGCTTTGAACCCAGGTCTCCCTGAGTTCACGCCCTATCCATTATGACGGTGATGTCAAACTCAAATAGAAATGGATCCCTTGGGCCACATATTGACTTAGAAAACCACAAATTGACATTATCTATGTATTTTTATTTATTTTATTAAACATTTCCTAATTACATTTTAATCAGGCTCATGTTGCACTCAGGAGTTGGCTGGTGGCCATGAATTTGACACCTGGGCATTACACCATGATATGATCTCTTTAACTCCAATATTTTAAGATTCCATGTTCAGTTTCTTCCTCAGTAAAATGAGGGAGTTGGATTAGATGCATTTCTGATGTCTCCTCCAGCTTTATGTTCTATGACTCGATGAGATGTTTGAGGATCAGAGATGCATTTGAATTTTGGATGACTCCATTCAGAGTTAGAAAGCCCCATTGACAATTCTTCCTTCTATTTTTGTTTGATTAGTCAATTAATAGAATATCAGCATCTCTTATGTTCTTCAGATTTGTCAACTGTCTTACAGCTTACCTATTCTCTGGATTGTTGATTTAGGGTGCTGGCACAGATGAAGGCTGCTTAATTGAAATTTTGGCTTCCCGGACCCCAGCGGAGATCCGACAGATCAATATGACTTACCAACAACGTAAGTAGCTCAATTAAGGTTTTGCTATAATCTGAGACTAGAGACTACCTGTGGAGACTTGTATACTATGAGCCTTTCTTCATAGAATCACAGAGCTGGAAGGGACCTTGAGGGATCATCTGATCTCATCATTTTTTCGCAAGCAATTTAGTGTTTAAAAAACTCTCCAGAACTGAATGCTGTCCTTAGGTGGAGACTCATAAATCTACTCAGCTTATTTTAAGGTTTATATCCCACCAAAAGTTTAGAAGTTATTCCTTATTTCAAAGTGAAAGCTAAAATTAATTCAAGAAACATTTAAGTGCCTACTCTGTGTAAGGCATTGTGCCAAGTGCTACCTTAGGAGGTGATGGTTATTAACATGACCAGGTATACTGTTGAAGAGAATCTCTTTGGAGTAGAGGTTGTACCAGATGACTACCAAGGTCCTTTCCAGATCTGGAATTCTGTGTCTCTGTAAAGAGGGACTGAACTAGGATGGCTATAGCAGAAGTGGAAAGGGGGGAGGGAAGGATGGCAAATATGAAATGAACAGGTTTTGGCTACTGATTGGCTATAGAAGACAAAGGGGAAGAAAGATGCCCTTAATGGAGTCAGCCTTAGAGGCGGCCATGTAGCACAGTAAATAGAGGGCTGGGCCTGGAGTCAGGAAGACCTGTGTTCAAATCTAGCCTCAGACATTTACTAGCTGTATGACCCTGGGCAAGTCACTTAACCTCTGTTTCCCTCGGTTTCATCATCTGTAAAATGGAGTCTCACTGGGTTGCTGTGAAGATCAAATAAGATAGTATTTGTAAAATGCTTAGTATAGTGCCTGGCACATAATAGGCACTATATAAATGCTAGCTATTATTATTATTATTGTTAGATATTGTGATACTATCAATAGACAAAGGCAAGTTGGGTAGCAATTATATTACAAATAATTGCTTAATAAATGCTCACTGAGTTGAATTGGGGGATAGGTTTTGAGGAAAACATGATGAGTTCAGTTTTAGAAATGATGAATTTGAAATTCATCTGACAGGATGACAGCTGACAGGAACTGTTTTTGTTTTTCATCTTTGTATCCTTAGCTCTCAACAGAGAGCTTTATATGTGACGTACTTCAAACAAACAAACAAACAAACAAACAAACAGACAAAGGTTTGTTAAGCTGATTTGAAGAAAGCTTTCAGAACTTTTTGAATAAGCCCAGCCAAAAATCACAGTAGGATTCTTGGAAATATCCTTTGGTAGTTGTCTCCTGCAATGCCCCTCAGTATTGCCTGTAAGAAAATTCTCTGGTGACTTAATTCTGTTGATTTACTCGACAAATAATGGGCTAGAGTCAGCATTGAAGCCAAAATGGTGAAAAAGTAATTCCCAGGATCAGATTCACTGAGTGTCTGAATCATCTCCCACAGTGAGGCTCCACAGGAGAATATAGACACTCCTCCTACCTTCTCAGTAGGACCTGGGGGAATTCCCCTCCTCCTCCTCCTCCCTCCACCCCCTCCCCATTATGAATTGAAACATCTTTTCATTTACACTAGAAACCAATGAATCAAGTTGATCTATATTACTTGGCCAAAAATTAATATTGTGGGTTTTTTAAATTGTTATGATAATTAGACTATTTCAGAAGATAGGTTGGGTATGAAGACGATATATGTCCCTGGGATGGCAAAGAAACTGTTTCGGTGGTTGTTTTTGTTTTTGTTTTTTTCTCATTTCTAATACGTGACTAATACTGACTTTTTTTTTTTTTTGGTAGAATATGGCAGAACTCTTGAAGATGACATTTGTTCAGATACTTCTTTCATGTTCCAGAGAGTACTTGTTTCTCTTTCAGCAGTAAGTCAAATACTTGAAATTTGGCAAGGGATACAATTTTGATTGGAGAGGATACATTTCTATAGAGATACTCTTCCCAAATGGGTGAGCCAAGTGTGAAATATTATTTAATAATACTTAAAAGTTATCCTGATGACTAATTATGCCATGGAAATAACTCTGGATTCTCTAATACAATGTAAGCTCCATGAGGGCAGGGATTGTTTTCATTTTTGTCGTTACTGGTCCCAGAACTTGGCAACTTAGTAATATTGAGTCATCCACAGATTAGCCTAACTATGTCCAGAGAATCCTGTTACCAAAGAGCTATTTACCAGGATATTATTTTTTTCTGGCTCTAGCTACTGACAAAATCAATGTACTGGGAGGGATACTAGCTTTAGTCAGAGGACTGGGCGTCAGTCAGTGATGGCTCCCCTAATTATTACTTATGTGTTCACTGGCAATCCTTTCATCTCTGTGGGCCTCAGGTTTCTACCCTATAAAAGGGGAGAGTTAGAGTAGATGACCATTAAGATTCTTTCAAGCCCTAAATCATATTATCCTATAAATGGTTGTATGGGTCAGATAAGAGAGTGCCTATACTGAATAAATCTGAATAAATTATGGCTTCTTTATGAATTGAATTAAGTACCATTTGAAGAGACAGAGATGTATCAGTAGACAATAAACTCTAACCCTTCATTGGCCTTCTAGCTTTCTTTTTAACAACAAGCAAGTCATGGCAGAATCTACTGAAGAGAGCTGAGTTTGTCTTGCCTTTTCCATTACTTACCTATGTGACCTTACATCTTCTTATGCTTCTGTTTCCTCATCTGTAAAATGAGGATTATACCTGTCCTACAGGGCAATGAGGTTCCCCACCTCTGGGTTAAACTATCCTTACTTTTGAGGAGCTGCCTTGTATTCACAGAATGATAGAATCTTTCTGTAGATAAAAAAGAGAGGTTAGACTTAAGTTGCCATTCATGCTAGGTTTGTTGATGTACTACTGTAGGTGGCTGAGCCTAGTGGCTTGCTTGAGCTCATCAGTTCTGAACTGCAGCAGGGATGAAACAGCTTAGGTGTCTGCCCTAAATCTGGTACCACTAGATCCAGGTGAGCTCCTGGACACAGGGCCACCAGGCTGCCTGAGGAGGGGTAAACTGGCCCAGCTAGAAAATGGAGCAGGTCCAAACTCCTGTGCCAATGAGCAGTGGCTACTGTGCTTCCAGTCTGAGTGAGATAGGAAGACCCAGTCTCAACAAATAAAATTAAACTACAGGTCAGCCCTCTATTCATCTTTCTAAAAACTCCCTTAGAGCTCTCATTCATTCTCTTAGCTTCAGCTATCACCTCTGATAGCTGATGACTCCCATAGTCATATATTTTGCTATGACCTCTCTCTGGATTTTTAGACCTGTATTGATAACTCTCTGATGGACCTTGATGTTTTACTAGCAACTCAAACTTAACTTCCCCAAGATTGAACTTACCATCTTTCCACTTTAAACAGTTGCTTTGATTTCCATATCTCTGTTCTTAATGCCATCATTCTTCTTAAAACTCAAAGTGGAAACTTTGGCATCTTCTTTGACTTTTCTTTCTCCTTTGCCCAACCAATCAACAAGTTCTATTCATTATTTTTTTTTTAAAAAATATCTCTCATATTCATTTCTTCTCCATTCCTGGTACCCATTTTCTATTCCAAAAGCCTACTGTTAGCCTCCTTTTAGTTCCTCTTCACCTTAATCTATCTGTACATTAGTTAATCTTCCTGAAACTCATTCCTTCAGCTCATTTTCCTACTCCTGAAAGCCTTTAATGGCTTCTCATTGCCTTCAGGACAGAATGTAAACTCCTTGTTTGACCATAATTTGCCTTCGCATCATTCTCTCCTTTTGCCTCCATCCATGAACTAGTGTCCTTATTTTCTAAGTGTAATTTATACTTTTTTGAGTTCCATTTTGTTCATACCATTTCCCCATTTTAGAATGCTCTCCTCTCCTTCTGGCCTACCTGTCCTTCGAGGCCGAGCTGAAATCTTATCTCTTTGTTCAGAGGATCACCATTCTAGATCCAACAAAGATCTTAAAAGACATTTAGTCCAATTTCCCTCATTTTACAGTCGAAGAAACTGGGGCCCAGTTAGGGGGAAGTAATTACCCTAGGTAATAGGGTAACAGTAAGGTAATAGTAATAGTAAGTAACAGAGTTAGGATTTTAACTTGGGTCCTCTGACTCCAAATCAACCTTCCTGGACCTGAGTTTCCTCATCTGTAAAATAAGGAGGTTGGACTAGATAACTTCTGAGAGCCCTTCCAGCTCTGTATCTCTGAGCCTATGATCTTTGAAACTTCCCTTCCTTCTCTTTTACTCTTCATGTTGCTCATTTGGTATTTCTCACTTACTTGGGTCATTAATTATCTTCTCGTGTGTCATCTCTCCTAGTAGACTGTCAGATCCTTGAAGTAAAGGACTATGGCTTATATTTAAAACAAAATCCCCAGGAGTGTTTGACACTGCTTTACACACGTATCTATTCCATAAATACTATCCAGATCTTTGGACAACTTAACTTCACATCTAAGAAAAGGTGTTGGGTTGGATGATTTCCAGGATCCCTTCTAGCTTTCACTGCTATGATAAATGACCCTGAGAATCCAAGAGGACAGATCAGTATAAGATGATCCAGTCTGCGGGCTTTTATGAAAACCTGCTTCAATAATAATAGTTGTTTTCTTTTGTTTTCAGGCAGGAAGAGATGAAGGAAATTACCTAGATGATGACCTTGTGAAGCAGGATGCTCAGGTTGGCAACTCTCTGCCTTTTCTCCATATGTGTGACTGGTGGCATGAATAATTTTGTTTGCTTCTTTTTTACCCTCTGTGAAGTAGACAGAGACAGTTTTTTTGTCCAGTGTTTAGCATAGTGCTTGGCACATAGTAAGGTCTAGAATAGATAAATTTTATTGGTTAATTGATTGCTGGGTAATTTTCACTTACTTCAGTGAGAAGCTGTGGTATGGGAAGTTGCCTTCAGACCAAAAACATGGAGGAAGGGAAAAGTATTTAAACTGATTAGCAGCTAGATGTCACAGTGCCTGGAGTCAAGAAGACCTGAGCCTCACGTTCAAAGCTAGTGCACTTATTAACTGTGTGACCCTGGGCAAATCACTTAACCTCAACTTGCCTCAGTTTCCTCAACTGTGAAATGGTAATGATAACAGCACCCACTTCCTAGGATTCTTGTAAAGATCAAGTGAGATAATATTTGTAAAATGCTTAGCATAGTGGCTGGCACTAAGTAGGTACTAATGCTTATTCCCTTTCCCTTCCCCCTGATTAAACAAATTTCTCAAATTCAGGTGTGAATTTTTGCTGCTTCAAAGCTGCTGACAGTTGTGCCTGTTAGCTCTGGCATTTGGTTGACTATTTATGAAAGGCAATGAACAAATGTATTTTGGGTTTTTTTTTATGTTTTTGTTTTGTTTTGTTTTTTAGTGGTGAGGCAATTGGGGTTAAGTGATTTGCCTAGAGTCACACAGCTAGTGAGTGTTACGTGTCTGAGATCAGATTTGAACTCAGGTCTTCCTGACTCCAAGGCTAGTGGTACAAATGTATTTTTAATTGATAAATTTTCAAGCTAAAAGAAAATCTGGAGGTCTTATATGCAATGGTGGTGGTTGAAAGTGTTTGAGTGATTCTCTCAGTACCAGAGGACAGAGTTAGAAATACTGTGGAGAAGTTAAAGGAAGACAAATTTTGGCTTATTATAAGGAAGAACTTCTTCAAGCATTTCATAGGGAATAGGGACTGGAATTGTGATTTCATTGGTATAGAGAATACTTGAATGAGGAAATTCCTTCTCCCAAGGTGGATCTGTACCTTCTTTACTGACTTGTGGTCTTAAGAGAGTTGCACTAAGAGGCTGATTGTCTTGCCTAGTATCACACAGCTATTAGGTGTCAGAGGTAGGACTTGAACCCAGGCCTTCCTTCCTCCAAATCCCAGTTCTCCATCTTCTGTACCATACTACCTCCCAAGCTGCTCCAAAATGGACAGTGATGCCTTAGAAGGTAGTAAGCATCTCATTGGAAGTGTTCAGACAGAAGTTAGGGGAATGCCAACTTAATAGAAACTATGCAAAGCGGATTCTTGCATCAGGTAATTAGGTTGCAGTGGATGACTGTTAAAGTCTCTTCAATTTTTAAAATTGTATTATTCTAATATAGGATTGTATGTTTATGAACCTAGGTTTAAAAGGTGGTGAGAAGAATGTCTCTCTGGTTCTTCTAAGTTTCACCAGCACGAAAGTATAAATTGACCAGATTTGATTTGTGCCAGTGTAAGAGATAGGGGCCAGATCTTCTTTACCCCTTGGGAAGAGTGAGTGGCAGAGTTGATGGTCATCTGTATAATTAGGGATTTAATGTAGGCATTTAAGTCCAGGAAAGTTGGGAGGAACTAGAAGGAAGAGGACCAATCAGAGGCAGGTGGGATCTCTGTGAGAGTCTCCTAGCAATAATTTACAAGTCACTGCAGTCCTAACTCCTTACTCAATTTTCAATTCTTAGGATTTTCCTTGAACAAAAGAGTAGCTACTTATATCTCAATAAAACTGTAGTCTTACTGGAAAAAAAAATTGTGACCTCTAAAAAAAATCGTTAACAATAAAACTGAAAAAACTTAAAAAGGAAGAAGCCAATGAGTAAGAAGAAGAAAAGTCTACTTTAGCAACTTAGGATGGATGGTTGCAAACCCAGCTGGTAATCATCTTGAGTGAAAGGAACAGGCAAGGTGGTATTTCCCAACCTAAAGAATAACTGCAGGGTAGTAAAATTATCTAAATTCTCAACTGTAGTCTCCTTCATAGCCTTAGCTTTGTCAGGAGATAGGAATTGGGGGAGCAGGGAAAAGCAACATATAGGGAGAAAGAGAGCCAGTTTTTATATTTTAAGTGCCTTTAATAGTAAGATTTTATAGACTAAAAATGTGCTATCAGTTGGTAAACATTGATGTAGGTGACTTGACTGGCCCTTTTGTTTTTTGGTGGATGATGAGAGAAGAAAAAAAAATTCTCAGTTGTCCTTCAACTAGACATTGAATACTTTTCATGGGAAGCAATATGGTGCTGTGGAAAGAACCCTGGATTGGGATAGCTCAGTGACTTTGGACAAGTTACATTACACTTATAGGCCTCGGTTACCTCCTATAAAATGAGGCTTTGGATTAGATGATCACTGGCTCCCTGACCTATGAGTATGGAATGTGGGAACTGGACTGGAACATTTTAAAGACTGTCAAACTCTAAAAATCCTTTGGATTTCTAAAATGTGACTTTCACCGATCAGAGAAGCAGCTAAATAGTCAAATACATAGAAAAGGGAAGAAAAAGAGAAAAGAGCAATCACTTCTACTGCCAATAAGGAACAAGTTGATGAAGAGCATATTATAATCAAGGCTCCTAAAATCAGTGATCAGTATTTCCATTGGGTTTGTAGGCAATAAATTCCAACTGTGGGCCTAAATCTGAAGCTAGACTTTATTGCAATCTCTGGTAAATCTAACCTTTCAGAGCTTTAGTTAGTTAGTTTTTCTTTGCTTTTTTAAATATCAATGAGTTCAAAGAATTAAAATACTTTAAAGATGTAACCACGTAAGTATTTGATATTATTCTTTGATGACCATTGCATCATGTCAAAAGAGTGTAATATAATGGATAGAGAACAAGCCTTGATGTTGGGAAGAATTGGGTTCACATCCTACCTCTCAGACATTAATGACTGTGTGGCAGTGCTAAGTGACTTAACCTCTCAGTGCCCCAGGCAACCCTCTAAGACAGAGAAGCTGCTGGTTGGCATCAGTGGAGGGAGTTTCCACTCCAAAAAGGCCTCACATGGCTGAAGTTACAGTTCTGGATACCTCTCTCCACTGCCCCCAAGGAATCATCTAAGCAGCCCCTAAGCGGAAGGAGAGTGTTACTTTGTAGAATGGAAATTGTGATGGCATTGGAATGAGGATACCAAATGGGTGGAGAACCCCACCCAACCAAAGAGTTCATTAGGTACTATCTTTGTGTATGCCCATAGCCCCTCTCCATTGAACCTTTCCTGGACTGTGAAGGCAATTAATGACTCAATTCATAAACATTTATTAATTGCCTATTATGTGCCAAGGTGCTGGAGGCTCAGGGTCCAAAAGCAAAAAGTGAAACAATCTCAATGAGCTAACATTCCAATGGAAGAGACAAGCACATATGTAAGTATATACAGCATAAATAGATAATAAATACAAATTAATACAAGGTAGTTAGGGAGGTCACTAGCAACTGGAAGATCAGGAAAGGTTTCATGTAGAAGGGAATGCTTGAACTGAGTCTTGATGAAAGAAGTGGTTTGTTTTTTTTTTGTTTTTTTTGAGGTAGAAGCAAGGAGAAAGTACATTCCAGGCACGTGGAAAAACCAGTACAAAGGTGGGAGATGAAGTACCAATGTGTGAGGACCAGAGAAAAGGCCAAGGGAGAGTCATATAAGGCTAGAAAGTGAAGTTGAGGCCATTTTGTGAAGGGCTTTAAAACTTAAATAGTGGATCTTATATTTTGTTCTAGAAGCAATGAACAACTCCTATGCGCCAAGTGTAGGGCTTCCAACCCTATTTGGATTTGTGAAAATATGTCAGTTAGCCCCTTAGAGCTAGAAGAATCTTAACCTTTCCTGTGTTTTAACTCACATTAGGCCCTGTATGCAGCTGGTGAGCAGAGATGGGGGACCGATGAGGTGAAATTCCTTTCCATTCTATGTTCTCGGAACCGAAATCACCTACTTCATGGTAAATCTCTTGGTTACATTTTTTTTTTCATTAAATGACTTATTAAAAATTTAGTCCTGTGCAATAATTAAACTTAGTGACTATTTACATTTATATTTATTGCAACACTGACAGTGCATAGCTCTTTAGTTACTCTCACTAAGTTTCCATCTGGATTCTTTGTTCATTCTCATTCTCTTATGATTATAGTTAGTGTATATGCTGTGCTTCTGGTTGTGGTGGTTTTTTAATTTGCATTATTTCATAAAGGCTTTTCTAGATTTCTCTATACTCCTCACACTTGTTGGTCTTCATGACATTATAGTATATTATTTCTTTTTTGCAGCTACAAATAAAGCTTCTAAGAAAATCTTCAATTAGAAAACTTTCTTTAAATATTGTTTTTGATAAATCTTTTAGGCTATATTCCTAATGATGGAATTGTTGAGTCATAGGGTATGATTCTTTTTGTGACATTTACCATATATTACAGTTTTTTTTCCAAAGTGATTCTACAAATTTTGAACTCTACCATAGGTACAGTATACTTGTTTCTTTACAACCCTGACAGCATTGAGTTTCACTATTTTTATTTTTTATCAGCCAGATGGGTGTGAATTGGGCAAAGTTATTTTATCTTTTTGATTATTAGTAAGGATTGGCATTTTTTCAAGAGTTTTGGGCTATATTTTCCATATAATTTCCTTGAAAGATGAATTCAGCTTTATATGTATTAATTATAAATATTTTTCCTACTTTATTCAGTACAGACAACTATGTTGTACCGAATAGTTTCACATCAAGTACATGTCTTGATATGGAAACTTTGGAATGACTATATGTATACTATACACACATGGTACAGAAGAAAGAATATCACATTTGGAGTCAGACAAACTGGGTTCAAATGTTAGTTCTGCTGCTTACTTTACTGCCTATATGACCTTAGGCTATTCACTTAATCTCCCTAAGCCTCAGTTTCCTCATGTATAATATGAGGGGGTTAAACTACATGTCTCCATAGGCATGCAGATCTAGATGTGGAGGTGACTCTAGGCTCTCAAAAGCTATGTCACTAAGAGTACAAAATCTAGCAGGCCCTGCCAAAACTTCACCTTGGGGCTTTAGCAACAGACTGAATGTTATGTTATATGAACATCAGCCTTGCTATGTATGGGGAAGCTCATCACCAGGCTGGCTGAATTCAGGATCTGAATTCTTTGGCCACAGCAACTCTCAAAGATGGTCCATCAAGTTCTAGAGAGGTTGCCACCTGCATTAGAGGCAGGACCCACACCAAGGAAGTCATAAAGCAGGAACATTACAGAAGGCAGCTTGGAAATATGGAAACCAAATTAGACTTAGAGTCAGAAGCCCTGAAGTTAAGTCCAGTGTCTACCACTGATTCCCTAGGAGACCAGGGGTGAGCCAACTAACTTCCTTCCACTCCCTAACTCCAAGGTTTTGAGGAGGAATGTACTCTGAAAATTGCACTATCTACCACATATTGCATGTAGCAAGAATCAATCAGAATAATGACACATTTATTACTAATCATTAGCAGCATGAATAATATACTCAGGGCCTCTTTGGTGTTTGTGTTTCTAGGAAACAATTTTTATAGTCAGTCTCTAATTTAATATCAGCAATCTCAAGACAGTATTCTAATTCAGTTATTTTTTTTAAAGTATTCTTTAGCATACAGGAAGGAAAATATAAATGTTAGTGGTACTTATTCTTGAATAGTACTTAAGTTGTTTAAAGTTATTGAGGCAGCTTCTTTAGGGGGTGTACTGATGAACAGGTGAGTAATTGTAAATTTTATTTAATGTGTATTTCTTAATCTCTCATTCAGTTGACTTGTTCAGATTCCTGTCTGACTGTTGCAATGTGCCTTTGAGTTCTTTGTAGGAAATGTGCTATGTGATCACAAAAGAGTGACTGTAATCACTGTTTTCCTATTCTGAGAGTCAAAAAAAAAATGTAATGAGGTATTTTATCTTTCACTTATGTCATTTCAGGCATTAGCCTGTGGCAAACTTTAGAAGCACAGCTCCATAGTCTTTCAATTACATATTTTACATAGCTCACGGGAAACATTAAACATTAAGTGGAATAAGTTTGGCAAACTACACATACACAAACTAAAAAATCGAATAGGAACAATCCATTTTGAAGTTTCAGATTATCGGGCACACTTGGATGCTATCAACAGATAATTACTGCTGCAAACAAATATTTATGGGCTTCTCAACTTTGAGATTGTGAGTTCTCATTTGTTCCCTAGTGTGTTTTTTCGGTAGCATAAATCTCCCCCTGGTGGTGATGCCCTAGGAATGCCTTTAGAAGGAATGTCTTTTGGAAACAACTATGGCGGGCCCCACAAGCCTGGGGACTGGGAAGTCAGCGAACTTCTGCGTTTGAGACCTGGGAAGCAGATGCTGTGAGAAGCATTTGGGAAGTCGAACACGACTGTTTGTTTCCAGATTCTTGATGTGGTTGGATCCAGAGGGAGGAGAGAGGCACCAGCAGAACACACTAGTGACAGCTGGATACACTTGGCAAATAATTGAGGAAAATCTAATTATGTCTTGGTCTATTAAAAAGAGTTGAAACAGCCTTATTGAAACACTAATCAGTGAAGGGACTGGATGGCTTCAGTTTTGACTTGCTAAGAGAAAAAAATGAGGCCAGAAGTTAATGCCCAAGCTAGGAATTCAAGTACACGAACACGAAGCTGACCAAGGAAGCACCGGGCCATCAAACCAAACACCTACTCAGTGGTGAAATGTTTCCTTCTTCTGAAAGGACTTACTAGTATGGGTTTCTGGCTAAAAAACAAAAATTGCTCGTTCTCATATTTTTCTCGTTACTATTTTTTAAATGTAACTAATTTTCCCCCAGTTATCAAAAATGTATTTTTATCCTTTCCAGATCCCCCCTCCTGAAAAAAACAAAGAAACCAAAAAACACAAAACCAAAAAACAAAAACCTTTGTAACAAGTAAACAGTCAAGCAAAATAAGTCCCCATGTTGGCTATGTATAAAAATGTGTCTCATTGTTAATGATGTTTGCTCCCAAATGTAGTGTTTGATGAATACAAGAGGATTTCCCAAAAGGATATTGAGCACAGCATTAAATCTGAGGCATCGGGCCACTTTGAAGATGCTTTACTAGCAATAGGTGAGAATCTACTTTTTTTGACAGTTCTTAAAGGGAAAAAACAATGACTGATTTTCTCATGTCCTTGTCCATATTTCTAGTAGTTTTTATGGTGTGGGAATACATGTTTCTTTCTTCTTTATAGGTTGTTTAAACCACCGTTAGTGCCCATCCAGATTTTAAACAAGGAGATTTTTTTAGCCTCTGATTATTTTTCTGAGCATTCCCTAGCTTAAAGTCATCATCTGTTGACTCAGTTTCTGTCTGCACCTTCTTTCTCCACAGAGAGGACATGAGAGAATCTTGGAGCGTATTAACCCGCCATTTTGAAATCACGTTCACCCCTGTTTTTTAATGACTTTTACGCCTCTTTTTGCCAAGGATCATAAGATACTAGATCTGGAACTGAAAGGGGCCTCAGAGACCATTGAGCTTAAGCTCATCATCTTACAGATGAGCAAACGGAGGCCTAGGAAGGTTAAGTGGTTTGCTTTAGGTCATAAAGGGGAGTGAACATGAAAGGCAGGATTGAACCTCTGATTTCAGAGCCACTATTCTTTCTACTGTAACAGTAACAAGATTGAGGCCAATTTTCCTCTCCTTAGACATTTTAAAAATTAAATGTTATTGTTGCTTTTAAAGAAAACCATTCCTGTCATTTCCTAATGTCCTCCCCCTAAAAAAACCCCATCCTTTATAACAAAGTATAGTTACACAAAAACAAACCAATACACTGAACATGTCGAACAACAGATTCCTCATTCCATATCTAAGATCCCCAACTTGTTCCCCAAGAGGATGCCCTCTCCCTGAAAAGTCCTTTAACATGACCTGTCCCGTTGACCTATTCATCCCAAAAGAACACTGTATAAATAAAGCTTCTCTTTTAAGGAGATCAAAAGATGCTACTTGATAGTTTGTCATAGAACATTTTGTCCTAGGGAACATTTTTCATCTTCACAAACCTTAAAGTGCTATATAAATATCAGTTATTACTATCATTATTGTTATTTTCACTACATTTCATCCATGATCTCTTTCTACTGCCTTTTTTTCCCTCCACAGTAAAATGCATGAGGAATAAATCTGCATATTTTGCTGAAAGGCTCTACAAATCAATGAAGGTAATGTATCAGTCAACAAATGTTTATTAAAAACCTATTATGTGTCAGGTGGGCATCTAGGTGGTGGAGTGGATAGAGCACTTGAGCTTGGAATCAGGAAAACTCATCTTCATGAGTTCAAATTTGGCCTCAGTCCAGTATCCATGTCCTGCCTTCTTTGCTTCGATATAAACCAGGGTCCTGTCCTGAAACCTGTGTGACCCTAGGCAAGTCACTTTACCCTGTTTGCCTGAGTTTCCTCATCTGGAAAAAGAACTGGAGAAGGAAATGGCAAACCACTTTAGTGTCTCTGCCAAAAAAACCTCAAATGGGGTCATGAAGAGTCAGACATGACTAAACACATGAACATGTCAGGTACTATGCTAGGAATTGGAAGATACAAAGACAAAGATGAAATGGATGCTGCCCTCAAAGAGGTTTCATTTTACTGGAGTAATACACCATACACACCTACAAATACTGAATATACATTTTTAAAATTACAGTTTTGAGGGCAGGGGGTGTCTAACAATGGAAGGTATTATGAATGTCCTCCTGAAGGAAGCCAGCTGACCATTACCTGGAGTTGGGGCCCTGAGCTTCAGATTCCTCATCTATACAGAAATGATAGTTGAATCCACGGTAGTTGATGAGATCACCAAAAGAAAAAGTATAAAAAAAGATGGGAAGAAGTCTCAGGATAGGACCCTGGTTTATACTCAAGCAAAGAGGGCAGGACATGGATACTGGATCAGCAAAGGAGACCAAGAAGGATCACCATGACAGAGAAAACCTAGGGAAGTGAAAGTATGCAGAAAGAGGTTTTTAACACTTCCAAACACCACAGAGACATAAAAATGATGAGGAGTGAGAAGGGGCCTTAAACATCATTGATGACCTGGCAAAGAGAAGTTTCTGCCCAGTGATGAGACTGAAGCCAGATTATGGGAGCTAAGAAGTGAGTGGGAAGTGGAGAAAGACAATGACTAAAATGGCTAGGGTTTGGCTATGTAAAGAAGAGACATATATGAGGGTGGTTTGAGGAGATGGTAGGGCCATGTGATGGCCTTTTTTTTTCCTTCTTTTTAGATTTAGGTGTTTGAAGACATTAGGGAAGAGAGCTAGTGGACAGGAGGAAATTGAAATTTAAGGAGAACGGATGATTGAAGGGGTAAACCTACAGAGGAGATGAAAGAGGATGAGTTCGAGGTCACAAGTAGATACTTGGCATTGAAAAAGAGTAGAGCTATCTCATCTTCTGAGATTGGAGCAAAGGAGGAGAGGATGAAGAATGAAGCTGAGGCTATTTAAAGTGTAGGACTGAGGAGACAGAGAGCTCGACATAGGTGACCTTATTTTTTTTCAATGAAGCATCCTTCATTTAAAGATAGGGAGATCCTCTGCTGAAAGGGAGTGGGGAGGTGCTGGAGGTAGTTTGAGAAGAAAAAAGTTTAGAAAAGATGCTTATGGGAGTGGGCTAGAGAATCAGTTATGGAGGAGGAAAGGGATTGATGGATAACAGTAAGATTAGGTAACACAAATTTGTAGTAGACTTGGTTAGATGGTTGTGTGACTTCTTCCAGCAGCATCCAGCATCACATAGATAGAACAGAGAAGACAGATGATGGAAATGATCTAGGGATGGGTCCTGGGAAGGAATGCATGTTTATAGAACAATGGGGCAAGGAATTCCAGGGCTGAGAGAAATGTAAAGTTAGATTTGTTAACTCAAGGGTTTAGATTTTGAAGGGAGGATATTAAGGCCAGCGCTAAAGGGAAGGCTTCAGGAAGCAGGCTGGGTGGAATAATTGAAAGGTGGATTGAAGGCAGAAGAGGGGTGAGGCACAGAGAGAATTAGAAGGTCAGGACTGGTATCATTTTTACTACATAATTGGCATTTCTAAAGGGTTTTTTGCACTTTGTAAAGCACATCATTCATTGTATCCTCACAACGCTCCTATAACCCAGGTAGCTTAAGCGTTAGTAAAATGAAGAACTGGAGCAAAGGAAACTGGCTTGCTTTGAATCACAAAGCTAGTAAGCAGCCTGGGTGGAACTTGAATCTAGAACTTGTGACTATATCCTATGTTTTACTACTACCCAACAGCTGCTTTTTTGGGGAGAGTTTGGAACGGTTATTGTTGACCACGTGCAAATTAGATGCATATGCTGTCATATAAAATATGAGAAGTCACACGATCCTGGGTTAATGAATTAAAGAGGAAGTCTAGTACTCTCCTTGCTCCAGCATGCATGAGTAGCCATCATTCCTAATGTGGCTGTGGCTTTGAGCTTTGCTGCCTTTGTCTCTCTTAGGGCTTAGGTACTGATGATGACACTCTCATCAGAGTGATGGTTTCTCGTTCAGAGATCGACATGTTGGACATAAGGGCGCATTTCCAGAGACTCTACGGGAAGTCTCTCTATTCTTTCATCAAGGTAAGTCAGAAAAGTCTCGCTTTGCCCAAAAGGGCAAACACTGATAGGAAGACAGCTTCCTAATCAAATTCATGAGTTGCTAATGAGGACCCAAGCCAACTTCTTGTTCCCTCATCTCTGAAACTTGAGTTGGAAGGGACCTCTGAGACCATCCAGTCCAAACTCATACCTGCCCAGGCATCTCTTTGAAAACATTTCTGCTTGAAGACCTGTTAGGAAGGCAACCCATTGTTAGGAAACTGTTCATCACATGAACCTGAAATCTGCTTCTTGCACTTTATACTCATTGGTCTTTGGTCTTCCCTCTGGGGTCAAACAGAACAAGTCTAATTCTTCTTGGACGTGATAGCCTTTTGGGTATTTCATGTTCCCTACTAGGTTTTCTTTTCTTCAGTATAAGTAGCCAAAGTTCTTTAAACTGATCTGCATTTGGCATGGTCTGCAATCCATCAGATTTGTAGCCCTTCTTTGGACATATTCCAACTTGTCAATGCCTCTTGTTGATTATCTCCAATTTATCATAGATAGATATGACTCTCTTATTTGCCCATAGTTATTTGCTATTTGTCTCCCTCATTAACCTGTGAGCTCCTTGAGAGCAGGGACTGTCTTTTGCCATTCTTTGTATCCCCAGTGCTTAGCTCAGTGTCTAGAATGTAGTAGGTGCTTAATAAATGCTTGTTGACTGACTCTCATGAACTGTGGTGCCTAGAAATGAACACAATATTTCAGATGCGGTCTAACCAGGACAGGCAGGGTACAGCAGTATTATCACCTCTATCTACAAAGAGAAATTATCGGGAATTTCTCATTCCTTTCCTTTTCCCCTGATTCTTAGGACTTGTCAAGGTTAGCAACTGGAGGTGGAAGAGTTCACAGGATGTTTGACTTGTCTGCATAATGATTGTTGTGTGTATGAAGGCCAAGTAAAATTTATACTTTAGTGTCTTTGGAGGAGGGGAAAGTAGGATGGCATAAAATAGGTCCATGTTTACCTACTGTCAATTTTTGTAGACTGAAAATCTGATTGGTTATTTGAAGATAAAGGTATTAAAATAGAGAGGAATGTGAATTAGGCAAAGAACATTGGGAGAAAATGTGGTGGTGCTGAAACCTTACTTAATTAGCCTGCTCTAGCTATTGTCTTACGGGGAGGGGCAGGAAGGGAACTAAAAGATTACTAGGGATATGGAATGGCTTCTTGGTCATATGGAATCCTTATTTTCCACCTGGCCACCTACTTGAAAGGCAGTATAGTGGAATGAGAAGAGAGTACTAGATTTGGAGTCAGAGGATCTGGGTTGAAATTCTGGTTCTGCTACCTCTGTGGCCTTGGGAAAGTAATTTAACATAGCTGGGTCTCAGTTTCCTTATCTGAAAAACTGAAGTGATCTCTAAGGTCTCCTCAGCTCTAAATCCTTTGATCTGGTGGATCTGAGAAGCCAAAGGGGGACTTCAAGATGAACCCTATCCCTCAATTTGAGCCACTTATTGCCGAGGCCTCAGCTTCCGGTTAGGGCAAATGACTCTGATGACTTCGGTAAGCCTTCTGTGTATTATTGGCAATTTGGAGAGGCAAGCAAGAGAGGGAGTTTTAAACCTAGATCTTTGTTGAGTTAGTAAACCTGCATGTCATTCCTAAATTTGCAGCTCTATCTGTGCAACCAGTGAAATAGATTTCTTGCCTTATTTATTCAGGTAGAAAATATCTTTTAGTAAACTAAGATGCTTTTAAGAATGAAAGGTTTCAACTCTGAGGTTAAACCTTATATCCATTAAACATTACATACATACAAACCATACATTGGCAGAGATGACAAAAGATGGAAATAGTCTTAGGGGGCTGTAGAATTAAAGGCACAGTAATACAATGTATATAGTTGTGAACTGGCCCAACTATTCTGGAAAGTCATTTGGAATTAAGATTTTTTAAAAGGTGATCAAATTCTCATACTTTTTGACACAAAGACCTCACTGACATGCATAAACTCTAAGGAAGTCAGAGAAAGAAAGGTTCTATCTACATTAAAATATTCATTGCAGTGCTTTTTTTGGTAGCAAAAGGAAAGTAGATGCAAAAGAGAAACAAAGCAGATGCTCATCAATTGGAGAATGTTTAACAAATTGTGGTACATGAACGTAATGAAATATTATTGCCATAAGAAATAGTGAACATGAAGAATTCAACGAAGCATGGAAATATGTAAATAAACTAAGGTAGACTAAAGTAGGCAAAACCAAGAAAAACAATATGCACAGTGACTCACTCAAATACTCACATGGCCAGATCTGTAATCTCTTCAATTTGGAAGCTCCTTCCCACAACATAGAGCTCAAACCATACATGTCTGTCTATCCATCCTATGTGACTCTTGCCTATGTCCTCACAAAGGTTCACTACAGAGGATCCATCCAATGTGATGGAGTCCTTCCTTACTTTCTCCTGACATCTCAAGGGGACTTGTGAAATGTTCTGGCTATCCATCTGTCATCCTTCTTCCTTACCATGTGGCCAGCTCATCTGCTCTTCTTATCATACAGTTCTTTAACGAGGAGTAGAAGCAATGTAAATTAAATATCCCAACAGAGGAAACAAAAAGAGCTCTGGAAGTGGCTTGGTCAGCGAACATCTGACTTCACTGACAAATGGAGAGAGGTGGCTGCCAAGAGTAACACCAAGCTGGACTGTTAACTAGTTAGGAAAATCTTATAATACTGTAATAATCTGTTTTTGCTTACAGTGGTGAAACCACCCCTTTGAAATCGTAAAATCCATCAGTTGTGGATATGATTCTGGAGTAGACAGAAATGGCAATAAAGAGAACACAGCGACTACAGTGAGGGGTATGCTGGAGCCAGCTTTTACTGGCTCTCTAGGGCCAATTGTTAAATTTTCATTGTATTTACAGCAAACTTCAAACTGGGGCTTGATTTATTATTTTGTTGACTGCCTAGATTTAGGGAAATGTTGAAGAAAATGTTAATAATGCAGGTTAAACTGCAGAGAGCCAGTTGTTAAACATCTACCAGCATACCCCCAACTTAAAACAATGTAATTAGAAAGGATAAAAACTCCTCAACTTAGCTCTGTATAATTATAATGACCAAAATAGGTCCTGAAGAAGAAATGAGAAAAGGCACATCCCTCTACTCTTTGTACACATAAGGTTCTATGGATGTGGAACCCTGAATGTACCGTCAGGTTTGGTTGATTCTATTGGTTAGTTTTGCTGAATTGCCTTTTATAAATTCTTTATGATAAGGGATGGCTGAGTAAGTGAGGGAGGAAGGATATATTGAGAAATGTAGGTAATGGTATCAAGATACAGAACTGCATCTTAGAGATCATCAAATTCAACCTCATCCTTCATAGAGTAGAAAACTGAAATTTTATATGATATCCTGTCTTGTACAGACAGCATCCAATTTATAAACAGGGTGTGTACCAAAGGCTGATATGGAAATTAGGCATTTGATACTTGGAACACATCTCCCCATCAAAACGGCATACAATATTTGCTTGGGGAGATAGGATTCAATTTCCAGTTGCATGCTGGATATCTCCTGGCTATCCTAAATTCAGACTTCCTCTAAACTTCCCTATTTCTTGTAAAGTGACCACTATCCTTCCAGTCATCCAGATTTGCAACCTCGAAAGTCCCTGAGTTTAGGTAGCTAGGTGGCACAGCACCAGGCCTGAGTTCAAATCTAGCCTCAGACACTTCCTAGCTGTATGAGCCTGGGTAAGCCACTTAACCTCTGTTTGCCTCAGTTTCCTCATCTGTAAAACAATACCTACTTCCCAGGGTCCTTGTGAGAATCAAATAAGATAATAATTGTAAAACACTTAGTAGAGCACCTGACACATAGTAAATGCTATATGAATGTTAGCTATTATTGTCGATATTATTATAATGGAAAGACTAATGGTTTTGGTATCAGAAATCCTAGGTAAAAATTCCAGGTCTGTCACTTACTGTCTATGAGACCCTGGGCTAGTCACATAGCCTTCCTAGGTCTCAGTTTTCTCATCTACAAAATGAGATTGGCTTAAACATCTCTGAGGTCCTTTCAGTTCTAAATAGATGATTCTTTGTTCTTTCATTCCATGACTTTCTGTTCCCCTTCCTCCCCCATATCCAAGTGGTTGCCAAGTCTTAATTCTATCTCCACATCTCTTGCATCTGTTCCTTTCTCTTCACTCATTCAATACCACTCCTCTCTCCATGGACTCCTAATTGGTCTTCCTGTCTCCATTTTCATTACCTTCTCTCTTAAAATCACCATCTACCCTGGGAAGAGAAGCGGTGGGGAGAAGTTACAGGGAACAGTGGTCCAAGAGAAATAGTAATAAGAAAATCCCAATGAGAGGTAGTGAAGAAGGGTGAGGACTTTCTGGCCATTGATTGGGTTACCAGGCTGGGGTGGCTCTTCTGGTGGCTGCTATATGTAAGCCTCATTTTTAAGTCAGGAACCAGCGAAATACTTCAAGAAGATAGAGTTTTCTGACTATGGCATTATTTCTTCCAGGATGACACATCAGGAGATTACAGGAAAGTTCTGCTCATACTCTGTGGAGGCGATGATTAATATTCAGTTTACACTGGATTGAAAGGAGTCAAGAGTCTAAGATTTGGGCTGGTTTTACTATTATTTGGCTTCATTTTTCTATAAGGCTGTTTAGAATTCACTTAAAATGCTTACTGTCAATTAAAAACACTGTAGTTACCTTTTAATATGAATTATCAGCTATTGCTCAGTGTTTCTGATGCATTTAGAGCTAGATTTTCTTATTTTTAAGTTCATTAACAGAAAAAACTTTCAAAAGATTTTTTTCCTTAATGCTATTTCTAGAGAAATGAGAACATTCAATATTACTTTTATTAAAAAATGTTTCATTGATGACTTTGTTTTTACATCACCATTCAATATTGTTTGAAATTTTCCTATGGGTGGTGGTTGTCCATGCAAGAGAAGATTGGGGGCTTAATAGACAGTTCTTCTGCAATTTCATATCACCTCCCACTCACAACTCTCAGTCCCATCCCCAAACCCTACTGCTTTGCCCGGCTAACAGCTTTTATTTGACAGATTTTAGGATCGTGCTATAATCTTGGCAAGAAAACCCACCATTTTATCTTGTCACACAACTATAGAAAGAAAGCATCCACACTTCTGCTCCTGTTTTTATGGTGGGGTTGGATCTAGCCATAACAGATCTGAGGGCCAGGAATGGTGGCTCCCACCTGTAGTCCCTCATACTCGGGGAGGCTGAGGCTGGTGGATCCCTTGAGCTAGGGAGCTTTGAGCTACAGTAGAGCTAAAGTTGATTAGGGGTCTGCACTAAGTCTGGCAACTGTATGGAAGGTAGGGAAAAGAGGGTCAAACCAGCCCAGGTCAGAAACATCAGGTCAAAGCTTCCCTGCCAATTAGCAGTGGGGCTGGACCCATAAGTGGCTATTGCACTCCCAACCCGGGCAAGATAGAAAAAGATAGATTTTAAAAAAGAGAGAGAGATCTATTGTGTTTGGTTTCAAAAGCTCAATTTCAAATGTATTTAGTTTGGGAAACTTTCAATCCACCAACAACAGCATCACAAATAAAAATCATTCACCTCTAGACTTGTCCACGATTTAAAAAAAAAAAGCTGTTTGTCTCTGAATAACCCAAATTCTGAGTGTGCTTCTATCACTTCATTCTGGAATTAGAAACAAATGACTAATGTTCTGCAGGATGATGGTTATTGTTTTATGCTTTGCCTAACCCAACAAGGAATGAAGACATTTTGCAAATGTCAGCCTCAGAGCCATAACTCGTGATTTCTTTTTCCTGAAATGTAAAGATTTGGGACCATCTAAACACAAATGGAATCTGTACCTTTTTCCCTCAAAGGTTGGGGAGGAAAGTGGGCCTGGGAGACAGCCACCACAGTAAGGGAACCATGAGATAGTAGTACTATAGCAGACCATGAGGTGCAACACAGGGACCATAGTCTCTACTGGGGAAGAGGCATGCTCTCCTAGATATCCTGGGGCCAAACCCCATTTTCCTCACACTGTTATAACTCCCGTCAAACAAGATGTGCAGAGATGGTCCTATACCTGACTAATGAGCTAAATTCTGTTGACAGAGCTGCCTTATTCTCTCTTTTCATGATCTACAATAATTCTCTTTTACATAGTGCCTTTGGACTCTAGAACCAGTGCAGATGTCTAGCTTAGTAATACATTTATGCTTTGATATTTTAATATAGAAATTATTTTCATTTAAATGTAGTTTATGGCTTTTCTATGTAAATTTAATAAAACATGGTACCTTTATAACTCAGAGTAATCTTTTTCTTCCTGGGTTACAGTTTTCTGTGTCTGAATTATGTGTATTGATCCTTGCAAAAAAAAAAAAATGTTTTTAGAGTTCCTATGCTGTGTTCAACTACTATTAAGAGTGACAGTATACTAGATAACTAGTTAGAATCAGATAAATTTTTTTAGATGTCCACTAGCATGAAAACAATTTCTCAGGGGCATCAAATAATCCCCAAGTGATCTGAAACAAATGACACTTAATTTACTCTGGACAATAATTATGTATTAGAGAATCTATTAATCATATTTGCTTTTTTTTGTCCCCTCTACAATACCTATTATGCTTTGGTTAGGTGGAAACCAATGATTTTTATAATTTGGTGACAGAAGTCTATTAAAAGTGCCTAAGCTACTAATGTATTTATATTAAATTGTTAATCATTTCTGCTAATAACAGAGACTTATGGAACAGAAATTCCAAAAGAGCATATGATTGCTAAGCCAGTTATATGTGGGTGCAGCATACACAGTTAGAGGTGGCAAGCTATCCTTTCCATCCGTACTTCCAGGGTGGAAAAGAGTAGGGCAAACTGGCAGAGTTGGTGGCAGGAACTTCCAAGGCCACAGATGGCTTGTTAGCTCCCTGGTACTAGAGGGGTCCATTAGGGCATTAGTGTCAAGCACACTGCATATTGACTTAGTTTTAAAATGTAATATTATCTATGTTTTACTCTACATTTTTATTCTGTTAAATATTTCTCAATTACATTTTAATTTGGTTCTAGCTTCGGCTGCCTGTGACGCCTCTGGCCTAGGGCAGCAAAGGCTACAGGAATAAGTTGGCTACAATGGCCCAGAGCCCTATGTCACCACAAAAATTGAGGACTCCTCTCTGGCCACAATTTTTCAAACGTTACTCCTTTGTCAGGGGTACTCACAAAAAGAAGCGGACTCGGGGTCATTTTGGGGTATTTCTCCCTATGTTTGCTTAGAGCCCCACTCAGAACATCTGGAAAAATCACTACCTAACAGGGGGCAGTATAAATACAGCTAAAAATGAAGGGGTTCTAGAGTCAAAGGATCTGGGTTCAAATCCCATTTCTGACAGTATCTGTGTGATTGAGGGCAAATACATTTAACCTCTATGGGCTTCAGTTCTCATCTATAAAATAATATGCCTCTAAGGTTCCTTGAAGGTTGATAATCCTATTTCTATTTCTACAACATCCCTCATGGATGTCCCCTCCTCTCCAGGCCCTCATCACCTCTCACCTGGGCTACTGCAAGAACTTCCTTATTGATCTTCCTAAAGCCCCTCCCCATAATGACTAAGTGAACTTTTCTAAATTGTCACTCTCTTGCTCAATAAACGCCAGTGATTCCCTATTACCACTGAGATCAACTGCAAACATCTCTTCTCATCCTGGATCCTTCCTCCCTTTCCAGTCTTCTTATACTTTACTCTTCCTTGCACTTAGTCATCTCGCCAAACGGGCCTACTGTCTGCTCTGAAAACACAACACTCCATATCTCCCAATATCTCTTTTGATTGACTCTCCCCCATGCCTAGAATACTCTTCCTCCTCACTTCCCTTTCTTGGGAGTCCCAGATTTCCTTCAAGACTCAGTTCAAGCACCACCTTGGGATCACAGCCCTCACCTGATCACCACTTTCCCCTACCCCCTCTCAATACCTTGTTTTTGTGCATATTATTTATATTCTCATAGGGGCATATATTGTCTCCTCCATTAGAACGTAAGCTCCTGGAGGAAAGACAACTGTTTCATTTTTGTCTTTGTATCCTCAGGGCTTAACATAGTGCCAGTGTGGCAGATGAAAGATGAAATGAGTTGAGGAAACAAAGGTTCGATCTTCTGAGCACATCAATTTATTAAGCAATGCATGGCAATTGCCCAACAAATCAGGACCAGTCACCTTCCTCAGCTTTGGTATACAAGAGGAGAATACAAGAGGAGACAGACTCATACATTAAAAACAATCAAACAAAGCCAATTAACTGAAAGGAAACTATATAATATTAGGTAATCTGATTTCTAATTGTATGAAAGATCAGAGATTTTCCATGTTGGGAGGGGGAGACTGAACAGGTACAATTCACTGAATTCAGAAAAAGATTTCCCACTCCCCCTAAGTGTCAGTGAACAATCAAAGAAACACAAACAATAACTGATTGATCAGTACTGAGCCAGTTTTCAGATAAGACATATGGGTTGCCTGAGATGTATAACTGTGAGCAAACTCTTTGGATCTGACTGAGTTTCTAGTCAGTATAACCTAAATTCTTGGTTAAGGGTCTCTAAGCAGCAGGGAGAGGTGGTCAAGCTTCCCAGCCACACAGGCTAGGTTCAAACAATAAAATAAGGTTTTTCTCTCAATTCTCACAATTGAATAAAATTTTCTCACAAAATAGAAGCAGGATTAAACCCAAAACTGAATAGAAAGAAAACAAAGCTAGCTCCAGAATTGAGTCACAAGATAGATAAGGTCACTGTGGTTCACTCAATTCCCACAATTAACCACTTGTCGTCCTAATCCCCCCAATTCCCTCACAAGGCACATAGGAAGTGCTATGGCATATAAAAAGTTTAAGAAACATAATTTCTGGGTAATTAGTCATTTTATTAATAATGCTAGCAATTTAATAAAAGGTCAGTGGCACTCTCTAATGCCAAAGATAATCATGGCTGTGAGCTCATGGCTTATGTGCCCTTGGAAGAGGGGTGTTCCTGAGGATGGTAAACAACTTTGATTAGTTAACAATTAATGAAAGAATAAATATTACGACAAGGGGCTGGACCTAATGAACTTTGATTATGTAATTTACTTCTCAGTTACCCCTAGTCTTGGACAGTCTATTCAAAGAATTTATCCCCACCCAAACTGGGGTAGAGCACAATGGCTTCCCCACCTCGGTGGGGTCTGAACAAAATTATTAAGAAAGCTAATCCAATGGCATTATCAGCAATGTCTTCTAGAGACTGAACTTTTTGAAATAAAGACTTTAGAAAGAAAGGGGGAACTCTAGATCTCTTCAAATCATTGATTATTAATAATCATTTCTCTCAGTTGCTTACCTAATAAATGCTTGTTGGTTAATGGAAACCAACCTTCTTTACTAACACATTTCATGAAATTATTGGAAGATTATAAAAATTAAAATTAGAGCCCAATATAGACCCCTTAAGACCATAGAGACCATCCAGTGAGCAACCCCTTCTAAACTCTATAAATCCACAGTCATTTACATTCCATAAGAGACAAATTGTGCACTGGGCTCTCCTTTCTCCTGTCATTCTTCACTAGCTTTCTTTGACCATTTTGTATGACTCCTATGCCAGGTATTGCTTTTAGAAAATGGCAGAATTCTATGCAGATCTTTCTGTGTTGTTGGGTGAAGGTTGTTGCCACCACAATGGGAGAGGCCTCCAAGAATTCTCTTATCTGGCAAAAGGATAAGTTTTCCCAGAATCAAAATTCAAATGATGTGGTACCAGATTAGAAACTTTCCTTACCTAAGACCATTTCATTTTTTTCCCCATTCCTGGACTCACATTAAGGTTAGAATCTCAGAATTTGGTAATCACTACAAATCTGCTAGGTGGTGCAGTGGATATGTTGCAGTCTGAGAGGTTGAGACCCCTCAAAGACTGCAGTACAGGACAGGGTCATCTGGAATGAATTCACAGACTCAATCATTCTTTAAATCAAGTTAGCAAAAAGTTTATTGTTAAGCTTTTCAAGGGGCAAAGATTCTAAAGGAACTTGCAACCTTAGAGGGGTACAGTTAAAGTTTATATAAGATAAAATATAATAAAACATGTGTCAAATATGCTAACTAGGTGATTCAGGGAGGGATCAGGGAGTGGTTGAGGAGTGGTCAGTTCTTAAAGGTACATGCACCTCTTGTACCTACTGCGTAGGCGTTTTACCCAGAGTTCACTAGGAAAAGCCCACAAGGGGGGACCACATGGAGGTGTGGTTTTAGGCCTGCTATGTCACTAAATTAACTAGAGTTCAGGGGTAACTGAGAGTTATCCAGTCTGCCACCTAGTCAATGTCTTGTTTGACAAGACAGATGTAAGGAGTATATGTATGTCTTAGGTCTAGAGCACAGATAATGAGGAGTCCAAGATGTAGATAATGAGGTAGGATGGTAGTACAGATAGTCCAATGGGTAAGAATATCTTTATGACCCAGTGCAAAGCCAGTTCAAACTAATAATTTCTTCAGGTGCTGTTCCTAACTGCACCAGGGAAAGACATAAGGGTCTTGCTGGGACCCACTCATGAGTAATTGCTAGGCACAGTGTCCTTGGGCTGGGGAGAAACTGCCAGGGATAGTGTTTCTGAGGCTAGGGAGAAACATGGTCAAGGAATTGGGGTCCCAGTACAACCACCCAAGCACCCCATCAGATAAGAGTGCCAGGCCTGGAGTCAGGAAGTCTTATTTATCTTACAGATTCAAATCTGGCCTCAGACACTTCCTAGGTATGTGATCCTGGGGAAGGCATTTAACCCTGTTTGGCTCAATTTCCTCATCTGTAAAATGAGCTGGAGAAGGAAATGACAAACCATTCCAGTACCTCTGCCACAGAAACCCCAAATAGGGTCATGAAGAGTCAGACACAACCGAAAAAGACCAAACAACAACAAATCTGGGCTTTGTTTTGATGATTGTTTAGGACTTAAGTGTTAATAATGCAGATTAAACTTAAAAGTATGTGTGCATAGCTGATTCTCTCACCCCTAAGAGCCCAGGTTCCATCACATCACATCTCTGTATTACTCCATAAACACTACTTTAGCTCAGCAGGAGTCTAGTAGAAGGCCCAGGGAACAAAGATATCACCAGACAGGAGATTGATAATAACTGACATGTATATAGCTCTTTTACTGTTTGTGAAATGCTTTACATCCATGATCTCATTTGAGCCTCATGACTCTTCTGGGGTCATGGTCAAACCTTGATGGCCTCCTTCCTCTGGTATCTGGAA